ATCTTCATAGGATAGGACAATCAGTGTTCTTCTCTTGGCATCACCCTTTTTTGCTTGTTCCTTGATACTTGGGTAGACCTTTTGTGCAATTACTCGCCCTTCTTTTCTAGTCCAAGCAGTTTTGGCAATGTGAAGAAAATCAGGCCTATGAGTCCCAGTTAAAATACATATCTTACGTATGTACATTCATTTGTCCAGCACCCTTCTTGTTGATATTATCAACTTGATGATCCCTAAACTGGTAAAGCAGAAAGTCACACTAATGAGGGTAGCTCCAATTAGGAAAACACACAAATGACTCCGCCCACACAGTCAATGTGGAATGCTTTCTAGATTACTTGCCGCCATACAATTTGTCCTTTATTGCTAACGTTTTCCTGGAAAAGGAAATATGACTGGCTCGTCTTCTTCTACATATGTATAAAAACATATTTACGATTTCAGGCATCTGTTATGTCGATACTTGCAACTTGGATGGTGAAAGTAATCTGAAGCAGCGACAGGCTATTCGTGCTATGGGAAAGTTTCACAACCCTACGGTACCTTTGAACTTTTCCCCTGATCAGTTCAAGTACAAGGTGACTTTTTGTGACGAAATTAGCTGTCAATTTGAAGACTTTTGTATTGACCTCTTTATACTGTTAGGTGTGTTGTGAGGAGCCCACTACGGACGTGTATAAGTTCGAAGGTCGCTTGGAAACCATGGATGGCGGTTCGTCTGGCTTGGACTTGACTCGATTATTAGTGCCTGTTTGTTAGACTGAGAAATGAATAGAATTTTTAAGGACCTCCCCTACCGCGAGAGTTCACAATCCTTGCCAAGGAGAACGTTTTGCTTCGTGGATGTGTGGTCAAAAATACGGATTTCGTCGAAGGAATAGTACTGTATGCAGGTATACTGCTTTCTGCTCTCAGGCTGCTTTGACACTTTGGTCTGACCCACCAAAAGGGGTATGCGACAACAATCGTAATATGCCGCACTGGTGGGCGTGGCGTGCGACGTCGCGCCCGCGAGACGATTCATCTTTTGGGGCTGTTAGAATCGGTAGACGAAGATCCACAGTCTTGTTCGCTGCGGAATATGGGGCGTTTCGGGGGGCCGGGTTTCGCGCTTTTCCACCTAGTTTTTACCAGTGTGGTTAATTACCAACTTCCACACTCGGTGGATAACAATCTGGCGCGCAGAACCGAGCCCCCTACAACGCCCCAGCGTTCATGGCGAACGAGACTCTCTATCTTCCGGCATGATCTTGCCTCCGCTTGAATTCACATAGATTTTGCTGCTCCAGTCGTGAAATTGATGCACATTGGGAATTTGCCGCGCATCACCGCATGATGCGCCGCGTACGACGGCGCGGCGGATTATTGTCTTGTCCACCTCCTCCTCTAAAAGAGATGCATCTCGAAATAAAGTGACTTCGCACTATCATTTTTGAACGGTGTGCTGGTTCGGGTGGTATAAAGTGTGGCTGTAGCCTACCATCTATTTTTACTTGATGTTTTGCAGTAAGGGTTATCCATCATTTCAGGTCGTGACACCAAGGCCATGCTTAACAACAATGGACCCCGATACAAGAGGTAGGCAATAAAGATTACCGCTGTTCAGTCATTTTCCTACGATCAAGAAGTGGCGCTAACGCACCCGCGACACGGTCCGTTTCGTAGAAGGAATGTGTTATCACGTCTCCGCCTGAGCTCAGCTTAGTAGCTGCGCGACGCCATATGCGGACCTCCTGACCGACCTCCGTATTACAGCACCTTGGTTGTTATCTGCACTATTCTAATAGTCAGACATTACATGATAGGTAATTAAGTAGCTTGGTTGTACATGGAGCTGCTCTGTTTCAGTCTACCTGTCTCCCATATCATGCTAAACGTACCGCCTTCTGCGCGCATCACTGTTCACGCGGTGGTGGGCTTTTACGTAGGGACTGAAGCTGCCTGAAGAGCGGACAGGTCGTGCTACTACTGGGTCACTAACATTCATTTGCGATGTCCTGCTTCTTCGGCGTGTTTTGAAAGAGTTTGCACCAGTATGCGGGTGATTTAGGTAGGACTAATTGAGGTCCTGCAGTTTATATAGAAGTCCGATGCGCAGTGCGCATTCCTATAGCATTTGTCAATGCCCACTGCCTTGTCCTAGATATTTTGACCTTGAAATCTAGAAAATTTTATTATCTATCTATTAATCACTAACAGAGCGACCGAATCTGGTGCTGGTCTGCTCAGAAAGAAACTATTCAGTTCGAGATTGGAAGCAATCTCCCGATCCTTTATTCTTTTTATATCCAAAACCAGTTCTCAGGTGGGGAATGCGTTCAATTATCGAAGCAAAAAGTTGTGCGCTTCTGGCGCTCACGTTTTGAAAGTCTGGCGAGTTTCTAATCAAAACGACGCGTAACTATTCGTGAATGTCAAGAATCTGGTACTGTTAAAATGCTTTCGCATAAATTGCTCAAAACTAGTCACACCCGAATATGCGCGGTCGCCAAAACTGTGGCCGACTGGGGTTACATGAAGCGGCAGTTCTTGAGAGTCTGAAGCCCTAGGTTTACATTTCGAACACTAAACAGCACATTTATTACCACGATACTTAAACGAAATTGGGGCATCCACAAATTTTTAGGTCAGGCAAACCACATGAAGCGCAATTCCTGATCAGGCACTTTTTAAACAAGCGCATGAGGGAGATGTAATGTTAGTGTGGAAATTTTAGGTAGGAAAATCCGACCAGCTCCATCTTCTGTATCGTTTTGGCTCTGTGCGGTACTACTGACTTGCGATTACCGCTTTAGGGAAGAATTATTCGCAGCCTTTGAAGTATTGAGGTTTTCTTAGGCATTACACCTACACCCCCATTACACCCGCTAACGTACGACCACCGGACGAAGTGAGGCAACTGGCACGCTTACTGCGCGCGTGTCCGTGATCAAATTCCGATGCAACTTTCTCCCGTTCAACCAAATCCGCACTAAATTTGGCCGGTTATTTAGCACCGGTTTAGTTGTGATGGAAGAAAAACACTGGACTGGCTGAACCAGCTCAAAGCATCCGCTGGCCCTTTTAAGTCATTGTGTACGGCCATGCTTGAATTCAATAGCGTTTCAGTTTCTGAATGTAGAACATAGTGCGATTCTCATACCACGAAGGGAATAATCAATCAGGCGAATTGACTGTTTCCATCGTTTTTACGGCTCGCTGCTTGTCGTGGTTCAGAGGCAATCGCCCTGCTGATCCCTCAACACGACGCATCCAGGTGGTTCAGAGTCCCCGTGAGCCCCGGACCTAGGACTCACGTCATCCCAGGGGTCCTCCTCGGGGACCACACTGGTCTCCCCCCAGTGCAGCCTCCGCTCCCCGAGGGTCTACAGGGTTCCTATCCCAGGGGGGTCGTGGGGGGAACTTGCGGTAGCACTGTCCCCAGGCGGCTGGTCTACCCCTGGCCCGGCCACAAGGACCTGACCAGGGATTCCCTGGCCGCCGGACGCACAACCGGTAGGACTAAGCAAAACACACAAGCCTACAAACTGCATGACACAACATCCTACAGCGCCTTAGTCGGGCCCCAGCCCTGGCGCTCCCCAGTGCTTGCCCTGACACATGAGTAAATAACACAAACAACACAAACTATAAACACTCACATTTATTGATACGGGAAGCCTGAACATCTGCCAACCTTCTTTCTCCTACTCTCATTCCTGCCGTTGTGGACGACCAATCCATCAGACCATAGTTGACATAGTTCGCGGTAAGAGCGGCAAGGTTACTCTGCCGGCCTGCGCGAGTGATAGTCCTCGTAGCGACAGGTGCTACTCGGACCTGCACTCCACGTGAGCCTGGCATTGACCTTCTCTACAGGCAGGAGAAGAGTATTCTCCTCCCCGCAGGGAAGGGTGCCAAGAGAGCAACGCTGTGCGGAGTCTCTCGCCGGCCGCTTTATATAGCAGCACGCAGCGGGACATCACGTGGCCCGCGCCTATTGGTTGACGCGGAGCAGCGCATAGTTTGGCCGTAGGGCGCGACAGAGCTCAGGCGCTCGGCGAGCCCGGGGCAACAGTCGCGTTCCGCGACACTGGGCATGGACCATCAACACAACTTACATCCCCTTGTAGTCTTTGAAGATAGAACGTACCTCGAATTCACCGAAAATCCATACCACTACGTTATTTGCCGTATGTAGCGACTTCCATTGTTAAGTATTCTAGCCTAAGTGGTAACGTTCCATCCCCGTATGAATTCACAATGGCGACCATGTTCCAAAAGACGTTCAGTTCTCAATTTAGAATCATCCGCTCCAACGCTTTTTGCATGCCAACCAGTTTGCTACGTCTGCACTCGGCATCCAATTTACTACTGCAGTGAGTGTGTACTTTCTGGCATTCGTGCAGAGGGAAGCAGGGGTCGTAACATACGACTGGTTTCCAAAAATGGAATATGGTAAACACGGCAGTACTAAGGGTTTTGTTCATGGTTCACAAACTCTGATAAAACCATTGTTTTGAGGTCGGACGGTCATCATGTTGAAACAACTGGCTTCTATAGGCTGCGGGAAATTTTTTCTCCTCCGCTTCGTTAATCTTTCCTGTGACAGCTGTCCAGCGCAACATGTATGTAAAGTCTTGTTCGCGCTCGGACCGTGGGTCGTTGTCAAGGGCGGGGAGGCCGGTTGGTGGCGGCGATCGGCACGTTTTTGCATCATTGGTGGCAGGCTGGAGCGACCTTGAAATGCCCCAGCGTCAGCAGGGAACAAGACTGTTTTATCTCGACCCCCGCCTCACTCAACAGCTAATTATTGAGAAGCGTTGATAAGGGGGTATGCAACCTGCGAAATGGGTTGTACCAAAGGAGGGCATTAGAGAGAATGGGCTATATTTTGCCAAAATATTGCACGGCACGATGATGCGATGATTATTGAAGTGATCCCGAGTGAGTTGAATGCATGACAGTAAGAATTTCTGACTAAACGATGGATGGCGATCTCGCAAGATTAAAATCTTAAAATTAGTAACGTTCGTTACACGTGGCGTCACGTGCGCTGCATTCGCACCAAGATCTGTTAATTAACGCGGAAAAGCTATAGTATGTTGAAATCAGTCAGATGGAGAGTACCACCTAGTTCTGCAGACCCACCAACAGGCTTGATTCGCGATCGCTGCTTAAGTTTATTTTTTGTCATTGGTGTTTTTCGGAGATCATATTTACTCCTAATATTGTGTATTATTTAACCATTCCTTTTCAGAAGTACACTTGAACGCCTCACAAACCTCGATATCATCTGGTGTGTTGTAATTCTTTTGGCCCTCTGTATCACAGGAGCAGTACTATCAGGTGCGATCATGTTTCAAAGTGCTCCCTTGCCACACACTTAGCACTCATTCATGATCCATGAGCCTTTACAGTAGTATATGGAAGCAGTGATTATTCCAGGGGTATGGATGAGAAGCTTTGCTGATCCGTATGAGATTCCATTCTTTACCTGGTCCGAAATGCCCGGTGGGACGGCCTTTCGTCCTTCTTTTGAGAGCTTCTGGAATTTCTGGTCGTTTATTATCGTTCTGCAGGTTTGCTTATCTTTCATTAAAGAATAAGTTGTTTTGTAAGGAATTTCAAGGACGAATGCCGAAGTGCAGGAGGGACTGGGGCTACCTTAGGTTGTGAGGCGTTTGGGTGGAGCCTTGCCACAGCCATCCAAACATCCTAATATCCAAACAAACCGGATTTGTAGGCGTGAGGCTGATTTGGCTGCATAGAGGCAGTAAGTCGAACATTGACCTGTTCTGTTAGACATGGTAGAGACCTCCGCAAATTCTGGTGTCCTTCTCACACCATGTCGTACGTTGGGAAATAACCAGCGGGAGGGGGAGTCGTAAGCTGAGTTCGATGGAAAATTCTTTTTTAGTGATTTTTCCCTTGTTTTGGCAGAGTTTATGATGGGGTCTGTTTCGTGTAGCGAGAGGCATGTTGGTTCCTAGATGACTTCCTCCTCCCCGCTCGGAGCAAAATTTGCGGGGAAAAACTAGAAAAACTTTCGTTTTCGTGAAATTCCGGAAACTGGAAAAAGTGGTAGGAACTTAGAAAATCGGAACATCTAAGAAAAGGGTAGGCAGGATTGAGGAAAGAGGGCCGCACCAGTTTTCCAAAAATTTTCCTTGTCGGCAGGACGTGCCTTGTCCTTCCTCGTATTCGATTCTTACGAATAAGCTTGCAATGGTTCAAGGCCTAATGGTCACATTACGCTATTGAGGGATTTCAATCAATCGGTGTCTTTCAGGTACTGATACCGATCTCACTCTATGTCTCCATAGAATTCATAAAGGTCGGTCAGGTATGGCTGATATCTCAAGACAAGAACATGTACTATGAAAAGGTGGACAAGAGATTGCAGTGTGTGAGGTACTTGGTTGTTAAGACGTCACATTTGTCCCAGTTTAGAGGGCGCCACACGGCTTCAGCTGCCTCTGATTGGTTCTTTGTTCGGAAACAACACCAGTCATAGAAGTTGTTCACACGTGCAGCTATCCTATGTCTATAATGTAGGGGTTCCCTTCTGATTTTGTGGTGTCCATAGTCATGTATTGCTTACAGGGCATTGAATATTCCGCCGGAGAGAGCTCGGCCAGGTTCAATATGTTATGTCCGACAAAACGGGAACGCTAACAGAGAATCAGGTATGAAAGAGCTCTAGCACGACCATTTCCCCTTGCATCGTGTGGGTTTTGGGTAACATCATGGGGCAACAAAGAAGTATTGGAACTGTAAATTTTGTTTAGCGTAATCTGATTTTGTACAAGTTTCCGGCCTTTAACTTTTGACACATCACCGACCTGCCTTACCTTCTCTTTAATCGTTTTACGGCGTTCATATTTACTTTTTGACCTTTTGTTTCAGGATGGTTTTTCGTCGCTGCTCGTTGAGAGGACGAGATTTTGGTGGGCATTCTGTGGCCGCAGCCATCGACCAGCCGGATGATCGTCTTGGTAGACCGCGTCCTTCTAAAGACCGTGGACTCGAGGCTCTTCTCAGTCGTGCAGTACGAGAAGCTGACATTGACAGTCCGATATATCTGTTCTTTCTCACGATGGCCATCTGCAACACTGTTGTGGTGAACGCAAAACCTCATGAGGTAAGAATTATAACAAAAGTATGGATCGCTCTCCTACCATGTTATGTTCTGTTTCCCAGTCTTCGGTGAGAACCACCCTTTATACAAGATCTTGAAGTGCTTCTGGATATTATTTTCCAATGCATTCAGTTTCTTTCACTACTTTCTTCTTATCTGACTGTGGACTTGTCTTTGCAGGACCTTATGGATCCCGATGGTGACATGATCGACAACAGCGTTGAAGAATCGGAGGCTACTGAAAGACTAACGATTTCACCGTTGAGCGTCAAGTTCCTTGAAGAGGTGGAGGAAGAAGTTCCCCTGGGTCAAAGCGTGAAGAGTCCTCGAGAAAGTATTGAACTCATAGATCTGCACGATGACAAGGTATCTCCTCATACAGGTGTGGTAACGGTTTTGAAGAGGTTTGAAGATTGTTCTTCAAGGAGGATTCTACACCGGTGTCGACCAGTGCACAGAAAGTGTCTCCACGATGATCAAGGAAAAAGTTCACAAGCTCTTTGAAAAGGCATGGCTGCTTCTCCCCTGGCATCCTGCAGTCTAACGCTCTTCCTGGAATCCTGCATCGACCATCACTGCTCAGTCTTGCCCGTCTCAAAGGAATCAAAGAACTTAGCCCGTTTCGAAGGTGAGCCAGAGAAATTCACAGTCGTTAGTATGCGAGCAGGCATTTGCGCTTCCTGATTTTTTTTCATCGTGGTCTGTGAACTAGAAGGTTAGAGAAGAAGAAAGGAATATCCGTTACGCTCACGATCCAGGGGTCCTTCGCTGTTCTCCTCTCTGTACCCATTTCATCCAACACAAAAGATATGGTTGAGATGAGGCAATGTATGGCCGGTGGGCTCTCAACACCACTTCCTCTTTTGAATTAGGCCAGATGGCAACACTCCGCCCTAGCCGGTGGGATAGCATACAGCCAGAAAATAAGCTTTTCAAAATGCAGCGATGGATTGCATCTATCGTACCTGGTTGCTGGGGAGAGGGGGTGTATTTGACATAGACGAAACTTTTTGCAGTTGTTGATTTATCCCGTTTTATGTGCGCCATATCTCTATTCACCTCCCCTGGCTACAAGCGTGACGGAATCACCCACTAAACAGCAAAGTTTCGGGAAAGAGTTGGTAAGAGGGTGGGCAGGTTGCGAAGGCAAACCTACCGAAGGAGAGGGTCAGAAGGGAAGGGGGATGTCGTATTCAGCAAAAGTTTCACACAACATGATGTGCCCTGCATGTGCTGCCTATTGTCAAAGTCGTAGCGTAGTCCATTGGCTAGTTAAGGGATTTTACGTGTGGGAGAAACAGGTGTGGGTCACGAAATGGAGACTGCACCTCTGCGACCAAAGGTAGAACAGCGGCACGCTACCATGATGGCTTTGAGACACATTCGGAGATAAGAATTCTTGGGTTCAGAGTCCAAATATCAGTTCCTATATGACTCACGAGCGCAGAAGTCAGTGCAAAATTCCCGAATACGCTCATAAGACCCCAGATGCGGACGATTACTCCAAGGGGTGGAACAATGCTGCGCGTGTCGTGAAACCACAGGCAAAGGGCGAGGGGACAGGAAAAGAAAAAGGCGAGGGCGCGATGCCACTTGGGATGACCTGCCGCCGCAATCCGCTCATCTTACCCACGCGTGAGGAAGGCTGGCCATTTAAACCTAGCCAGGCTCATCGCTTAGTGATAGCTATTGGGAGCCTATATTTCTCTGCGATTCCGCGGTCTTGCTATCCTGCCTTTTCTTGCCCATTTTTTCAAACTGCAGTCCAAGTTTCCTACACTTCTTATCTCTTTAACCTCCACGGCTTCCATATCCAATTGTTACACCAATGATTTTTTTAGATCAGTGGACAAACGCCAATCACAGTCTTCCTTCCGACACGACAGCTCCACTGCATTCCTACTATGACTCAGAGTCTCCAGATGAGCTTGCACTCGTTGAAGCTGCCAGGGAATACGGTGTGCGTCTGCTGAGACGAAGATTCGATGAAGTGAACATTCATCTCAGAGCCAGTGCTCAGATAGTCAAGTATAAGGCGAGTAGTATTGTCGCTGCGCCGCTCTTTTTCTGAGAGCTTTTCTCTATACCTGCTTTCCAGCTGCTCCATACGTTGCCGTTCGATTCTGATCGCAAGCGAATGTCCGTGATTGTGCAAGAGTGCACCGGAAAAAAGAGGGTCATTCTTCTCACTAAAGGTGCCGACGCTAGTGTTCTTCCGATTCTGGCTAACGAATACCTCACATCTGAGATAGGGGAGGAGGAAGTGTTCAAGGTAAGATTTACCTTTCACTGGCCTTTTTTATTGTTTGAAGTCCTAATTGTCACCCACTAGGCACAAGAGCATCTGTCTGACTACGCGAGGGAAGGGCTGCGAACCCTATGCTTAGCTAGGAAGTACTGGAGCGAAGAAGATTACCAGGTAACCCGCGTTCTCGAGCGGATTTTTGACAATCGTTTCGTGAATTTTGAATGAGATGCTCAGACGTGGCGCTCACTACATGAGGAAGCCGAGCTTGACCCCCACCATCGTGAGAACCTTGTCCGAGACAGCATACTGAAAGCGGAAAAGGATGTCGAATTACTAGGTAAGTTCTCGTCAGCTCATGTTTCCAATGTGAAATTC